AACATTAAAAGCATGTCAACATATTCTGTTACACCAAATACACAAAATAAAGATCTATAAAAAAGCATCATATGACCCCTTTAAATAAAATACATCGGTAAATATTACAAACTAATAAAGTTTAATAATGCAGACATCACCTATAGGCACAACAGCCTCTTAGAACTTAAAAAGGTGCTTTAAAGATGTGTTTGGTTGAACTTGCGAAATAAATCTGCAAGTGATCACTCCAGGTTGTTTTGGAGTAATGATAAACATTGCACTTACACTGTGACTAATATTTTCTCCAGTCTATGAAAGCCTTCTGAAAGACAGGAAAACAGCAGACACGGGAAAACAAATGAGCAGTTAAAGGCGTTAGTCATTCTCGGAAATGTAATGAAACCACCACCATAAATATTTGTTATTAATCAACAGATTTTATTTACAGAAAGAACAGAAATATGTGTGTGGACTGTTGTCATAACGTTTTAAAAAGCATGATCTTTTCCCCCTTTCTATAGAAAGCAGGAATTTACAAACAGAGTTGAAATCGATGTTTTAACCAAAGACCAATCGTGGAAATTGAGACAAAGTCTTTATTGAGCTTTTGCAATGTTTCTGCAAACATTCCCACCCCTCACCCCTTTACTAAAATCTCACTATTCATCATTCGTCTCCAACTCCCCTGCAGTCACGGTGTATCGAAAATAAATGCTTAAGGGAAGAAACAGACAAATGAATCTCAATGCACTGGACTGTGATGGACACAAGAAAACAAAAAGCACGCAATGGAGTTTCAAGAGTGCAATTAGTACAGCGATGGCAAGATACATAAAACACTAAAACCGGATACATTAACAGAATTGTTATGCTAAAAGAAATATTACGCAAAATCTTCCTTCACTCTAGCTCTACCTTGCCCATAGTCCAAAACACAAATCAAGTCTACATTAGGGTTTACATCTTTAAATGTTTCTGTGATGGTGGAAGGACTTTCCAGTTGAACCATTTCCCAGGTGAAATTACTGTTTGCATGTGGTTTAAATCTTGCGTCTTTTCTGTTGTAGTGAACCTATACATTTTTCCTAGGTTTCCTAACGGGGTGAGTCTGCAGTTTGACAGAAAGGGTGCTCTAAACAGGGGCTAGTCTGCTGCTCCTCATTAACACAGAGCAATGAGAAGAAAAAAGGTTAAAAGAAATATAAAAAGTTACCCCCCTCCCACAAAAAAAAAAACAAGGGGACTGACAAATGACATTCAGTTTTAATGCACGCTTCATAGCAGAAGTCTGCGGCTACCTCCCCAACCACTGTAAAAGAAAGCTGTACGAGTCGATCTGCCCATGCATCTCAACAGCGGTGAATCAGGACAAAGACATTTTTTGTTGTACTAATGTGCATTTAAATCATAAATTGTCTTAAGTTTTCTTTTTACTTTTGTGTTAATATATTCTTTACAGTTTATCATAATTTTTTGTTTCCTAAGACTGTGTCCTTTACATGAAAATGAATAGGTCTTGGCAGAACATGGAGTTGTGTTCACTCTTGACTTCCTTTTTTTGTCTCCCCACACACATTTCTAGACTTCTATATTGTTTCCGGCATAAAGCCTGGTCCATGTTCGGGCTGAAATAGACAAACAAATGCAGAGTTAATACACCCCCGAGTGTTTTATCTCGCACTTAAATCCCTGTAGAGATAAATTACTCGGTATCTTCAGCACAAAGCTGACTTTTATATAAAAGAATTAATAACAACTGTAAAAAGTGATTAGCAATATCAAAATGTACTTCGAAAGCAGTTACATGAGATAAAAATGATTTTGCAAGAGCAGTGTTATAGATTAAGGCCTCTGGGACACAGATTATCAATGTAGTAGCCTCTTAAAGTTTATGGACCACCCAGAAAAACCTCTGATTTAAGTGAATGTACATACAAATAAATATTAGCAATATCTATTATTCATTGCATTTTTTAACAGATGTATCAGTCAAAGTACAGAGATGGATTTTATTCTAATGCCATTCTAAACCTTTATGACTGACTTTCCTCTGTGGAACACAAAAGAACAATGTTTTGAAGACCATACACAATACTGGAACAACTGACTTTCATTATATTTTTCAAAATATCTTTTGTGTTCCACAGAAGTCAGTCATTAAGGTTTAGAATGTATGGAAGTTAATTTCCACCTCGGAATAAAAAAATAAATAAAAAAAAAAGCTAATTGCAAATGTTTATCTAACAATTCTGACTTTTCTCCCACAAATGAGAGTTTATACTTATGACAATTCTGACTTTTTTCCCGCAAGTGAGTTTATGAAAATTGACTTTTTTTTAATATATAAACCCTTAATTGTGAGATATAAACTCAGAATAGTAAGATATAAAATCACAAATGCGAGAAAAAAAGTCAGAATTGTGAGATAAAAAGTTGCAATTACCCTTTTCAATTTTTTTATTCCATTATGGAAAAAAAAATTGCAAGATGTAAATTCAGAATTCAGTGGAAAAAAATTTGAGAATTGCTAGATGTAAACTTAAAATTCAGAGGGGGAAAAAAGTCAAAATTACAAGATGTAAACTAAAAAAAAAACACAAAAAAAAGAAAAAGAGACATACTCAGATTTGCGAGACAAGTCGGTCACAATTCTGATTTTCTCGCAATTTCAGAGTTTAAATTTTTTTTAAGAATTGCAAGTTTATATCTCAATATTTTCTCAGAATAGCAATTAAGAAGGCTGAACTGTGATACAAACTCAATTATCTTAATTTTTTTCATCCTATGGCAGAAACAAACTTCCATAAGAATGTCATGAGTGAGGAAAAAAAAAAAATTTAGAATCAACTTTCCCTTTAAATGCATTTAACCAGCACCCACCTGTCTCTATGGCTTGAGCTTCGTTAGTCTTCCACTGTTCTGCAACATCGTTTGCTAGAGGATCATCGGGGTTGGGAGCGCTTAGTAATGCCTGGATTGATAGCAGCACTGTGCGGATCTGCAAGGCTGGAGACCACTTATCTGTGTGCCATCATGCCATGGAGAGAGAAAAACAAGAGCAAGAGCATTAGCAGAAAAGTAGATGCTAGCTTCCATATGTGCCAACTCCAGCAGAGAGATCATTCTCTGTGGGGTCAAAAGTGTAATCTGAAATCTTCCAACAGAGATTAAATGGGCAAATCTTTCACAGTATGTACATGTTAGGTAAGGGAGCTATAAAATTTAACAGACTCAAACTGCCTTTCCTCTGAGGTAAAGCTAAAATTAGCCTTTTTTCCCCTTTTTTTCATATTCATTTTTCGCCTACAGTCTACTCCAAGGACATAATACTAATTTCCCCCATTTCAATAGCACGTTTTATCATAGGACATTTTATTGCCCACTTCATCTGAGAGTGGTGGGAAAAAAATAAATGTATTTAACTGTCTACGGTTTTGTTAGTGCTGGGACTGGCAACATGAATGAATTAATTAATTACTTATATGTAGCAAGAAATTATTTTGGATAAAAATGTTAAATGTTCCAAGTATGTGGTTTTTGCTTGGGAAAATGTTTACTTCTCCCATTTTCTGTTTTCTCTCAATATTAGCAAACAGTGTCAGATACAAACACAAACAATTATACAATATAATTACTGTAAATAATATTGGTTAGTCTAGCATTCACACTGATGAATGAATGAACTGAGAACAAGGGTTGTTCCAAGCTAATTTTTAGCTATATCTATAGAATTTTCACCATCACACAGAAACTCACATGACAAAATCATATCTTGCATATCACACATGTATTAAAGGAAGTAGCCATTTAGTTTCATTTTGTGTATACAAACACACACACACAACGGTTTAAAAAGTTTGGGGTCAATAAGTCTCTTATTCTCACCGATGCTGAATTTATTTGAAAAAATACAGTAAAAGCAGTAATATTGTGAAATATTATTACAATTTAATATAACCGTTTTCTATTTTAATACATTTTAAAATGTAATGTATTCCAGTGATGGCAAAGCTGATTTGCAATCATTATTCCAGTCTTCAGTGTCGCATGATCCTTCAGAAATCATTCTTATATGCTGATTTGGTGATCAAGAAATATTCCTTATTATTATTAATGTTGCAAAGTAACAGTTGTGCTTCTTAATTTTTTTGGAAATCATGATACATTTTTTCAGGATTCTTTGATGAATAAATAGTTCAAAAGAACAGCATTTATTTATAACATTCTACATTATATAATGTCTTTAGTTACTTTTTGTCAGTTTAATGCATCCTTGCTGAATAAAAGTATTAATTAATATATTTCCAATAAAGTAAAAATCTTACTAACCCCAAACATTTGAACAATAATGTATATAAAAGTGCATGATGTGTTTGAAGTCACAGCTGGTGAAATATAGAAACAGGCCCTTCAGGATGAATGTATGATATCTGACTAATGAAACATCTAGTGATCATCTGATTAACTTCAAAAGAGAAATGTTGCTATTTTAAAAACTAATGGCAGATGAAATGATGAATCACATTTTGTTCCAAGTGTCCCATTACAGCAGAATTAAAGCATTAAACCATAATGACTTTAGGTCACGATGGGTAAAATCAGTATGATCTGTTATTTAGAAAGTTTCAGAAGATGGAATAAAATGGTATCTCACCTTTCAAAATATCTAGACATATTCTTCCCAACTTGTCTACATTGGGGTGATATATTTTGGTCATGAAGCGTACTTTCGGAGCTGCCATGGGATATTCTTCAGGAAGAAAGAGTTCAAGTTTAAAAGTTCCTCCCTCAAATGGGGAGTCTTGAGGTCCGGCGATGACCACATGGAAGTAGCGAGCGTTCCCCTCATCTGGCTCTGCCTTTATACCTGGCACCGGCTCTGCCAACAAACGCTGAGTTTCCTACACACACACACACACACACACACAGACATGGAAACATGCACAATTAGGCTGGAACATCAAGCATCTACAAACTCAGTTATTTAGCAATTAGCCAAAGCACTGGTAGTGAGACAGTCGAGTACACAGGAGTAAACAAATCAGCAGAAAGAGCTAACATGTAATGCGCACAGTGACAACAGTTTTGTGTTTTCGCTTCTCCTTGTAACGTTGCACAAACAATAATTGTCCTGCATCAACACATTCCAATGGCAAACGAACCTGTATGGCTAGGTGATTCATGGCCTGATAGGCCATTAAGAATGTTAGGTTCTGGATTTTTTAAAAATTAGATATTAAAGGTGTGGTTGACTGGGTTTTTCTAGGCTTGATTGTGTTTATGGGGTGCAGTCTAACATGTGTTCATGCTTCGTTTTTTAAAAAAAACACATTATTTTTCACATAATTTACCTTTATTCCACACCGATCTGTCCCTTCTCTAACAAACGCCTCGATTATTTCCTGTTTTTATGAAGCCTGGGTTTGAAGAGGGCGGGGTTTATCTGGGTTCGTGACGTAACGGACCTGGGAAGAAGCTCGTTGTAGACCCTTACCAGTCGTTTTTGTAGTCATTAAACTGCCAGAATTTTAAAAGACGATATCTCCGTTTGCATTCAACTTTCAGCGCTGCAACTTTGCAGATATTGTTTATGCTCAAACAGCAACATTACACACTAACGTTAAAAAAGTGAAATCGCAATCAACCACCCCTTTAACATGACCAAGCCCAGACGCACTTTTAGCACAGATTGACAGGGTGAGAATGGCAAATTTAAACATTCTTATTGGTAGACGAAAGTATTTACCAAATGAACATGTAAACTTTGTGAACGCTTGTTCCAATCCTGTGAAAATATGTAGCTTTCTTTCTTTCTTTTTAAATTGCAGCAAGCATGTATATCACTATTTGAAAGTTGGGGTCGGCAAGATTTTTGCTAGAAATTAATACTTTTTATTCAGCAAAGATGCATTAAATTGATGAACAGTGACAGTAAAGACATGTTACTCTTGCTAATGTTACAAAAGATTCATGTTTCAAATGCTGTTCTTTTCAACTTTCTATTAATCAAAACATTCTCAAAAAAATGCATCATGGTTTTCGCAAAAATAAGGAGGATAACTTTTCATCATACATAAAAAATTGACTTGAGCAGCAAATCAGCATATTAGAATGATTTCTGAAGGATCATGTGACACTGAAGACTGGAGTAATGCTGGTGAAAATTCAGCTTTACCATCACAGGAATAAATTACATTTTAAAATATAATCAAAAAGAAAACATTTTAAATTGTAATAACAGTTCACAATTTTACTGTATTTTTAATCAAATAAATTACTGACCCCCAACTTTTGAATGCAACTATTTGAACCATGAAAGGTTTCCTGAAAGTGTATGCATCTTAAATAAGAAAAGTGTTTTATTGTAAATATCAACCAAGTCACAAACTTTGAGTTTAAATATAGTTACTAACGTCAGAACTACAATATTTACAGATAATACAGCACCCATAACCTTCAGTAGGGCAGAGGACAATCTTAGATCTTACACTACAAACACTGCTGGTTAGGCACTATGGCAATATTTTCAGTAAACACTCTTTGCGAACCACATTAGAAAAGACAGTATCTTGCAATTTCAATATCAAGCACCATTTTTATAACACGATTAGTCTTAACGCTGTCCTGTAGCTTGCACAGCTCAATGACATTTAGCATGGAATTATATCTCGATCTCATGAATATAACTCCAGTAATACCAGGTATACACTAAACAATTTTCATAAAGTCATTCGCTTGCTGTTCCTTTCACACTGTACAACTGTTATCATGAAGTTACTGTGGTTTGCACAAATGTGGCCCAAATCGGATTTTTTTTTTTGCTCACATGTGCCTCAGATCTGTTTTTCTCATGACAGTGTGAACAGCACAAACCACATGGAATCTGATCTTTTCAATTCCGATTTGTGCCACTTCCTTATGTGGTACTAAATCCGATGCAGGTCAGATGTTTTGGAATGCGACCGCAGTGGAACAGTCATATCAGAATTCATGCGACTTTTACATCACTCTAGATAAACATTCGTCACGATTCTGCGCTCATGGGAGTCACTTCACAGATTTTTACATACCCAAAGTTATCAAGACAGTTGCGAAAGGTAGTCAGTGGAAGTACAGTGATCAGGGCTGGGACTGCATCGCGATTCCTCTGGAATCGATTCTGAGCTTAGATTTTAACAGCAGATGGCGCGCTAATCTAGTTTTTATAAAGCATGCAGTGCCATCTGCTGTTCAAAACTAAGCTCAGAATCGACTCAAGAAAGAATCGCGATGCATTCGGAAAATCTCAGAATCGATGTTGAATCATTTCTCGATTCGCGATGCATCGATTTATTTTTCCAGCCTTAACAGTGATGTTTCAGAACTCATAAGTACTGCAGTGACAAAAATTTATATACAAGCAAAATATGAGGGCTCATATCATAAAAAAAGTTTCAAAACTCTGCTCTCTTCGGTCACATCCTTGTCTTTATTTTTCATATTGCCTGCGCATAATTTGGCTGGCTTCTGCGGCAGATCACACTATAAATAACTGCATAATCACTTACTTAATGTCCTCCGTGTTTACTTCCGTATGACAGCGCGCTGCGCAAGTGTGGCCAAGTCCACATTTTTCCCGCAGAATTGGGATACCTTTTCATTGCTACCACGGGTTGTTTTTCAACTCCGTGGGTTAAAGTGACCCCACTAACGCAATATATAACCCCCACGAACACAATTGGGCTAGTTGTGGACTAGTTTTGAGAAGCAATTGGGCAGATTTTGTTGTGAAAACCTGGTTTTCACAACAATAAGAACTTTGAACTTTGTCCGTATTGTTCTTTTTGCGCATGCAGGTCAGTTCAGAACCATGTTCTGTTCACTAGGCCTGGGCGATAAAACGGTATCGGTATTTATCAATGGTACACAATTGATAACGATATAAAAAATTTTTCGATATAGGCACGTGCTATGAGTGACGCAGACAGCACACACAAACACATGAGTGCTGTGCCTGCCTGTGATGGAGATTGTGAATAAAGAATATTAGTCGAATTTAAAGGGGTTATATGATGCTTTTTTAAAGATCATTATTTTGTGTATTTGGTGTAACAGAATATGTTGACATGCTTTAATGTTCAAAAAACACATTATTTTTCAAATACTGTACATTATTGTACGTCCTATATGCACTGTCTCTCTCAAACGCTTCGTTTTCTACAAAGTCCCTCCTTCCGACAAGCGCAGTCTGCTCTGATTGACCAGCTGACCCAGTGCATTGTGATTGGCCGAACACCGCAAGCACTCGTCGGAAATGTAACGCCCCTTACCATAATCGCGAGCTTCAGCTTTCAAAATAAATGTAAAGACAGAGCCTGAAAGGGGAACAGAGTCGCGTGGCAGACAGTGATATGTGTCTGCAGTACACAAGCCACGGTTAAGACAGCTGACTCCACAGAGTCTTAACTGTGATAAACAATATCTCTTTGGTTATCAGTGGTGCACGAGATGCGGTGATAATAATGTAAGTGACGTTGTTGCATTTTAATGTTTTGTTAGTTTAGCCCACGAGATGTGCCGCTGCTGCGTTATGCATTCAAAATATTAAGATAAATATTGAAGCTCAATGCGGAGAAGATCTTAATTAGGTTAAAACGAAACCAAGCCATGCAAATACCAAACCAATATGACTGCTGCACTCGCGCCTCACACGAGATGTAGCCATGCAAAGTTAAAAAAGTTTCAACTTTTAGAAACCATATCGCAAATTTGTGAAGGTTTATTCCATTTCACGGTGTCTCTTATGTTTTTAAATGCAATCTGTGTGAATGACACTTCGGCTCTTTGTATTAAAGGGGTCATATGATGCTGCTAAAAAGAACATTATTTGGTGTATTTGGTGTAATGAAATGTTTATGCGGTTTAAAGTAAAAAAAAAAAAACATTTTCCACATACTGTATATTATTGTTTCTCCTCAATGCCCTGCCTTTTTGAAACGCGTCGATTTTTACAAAGCTCATCGGTCTGAAAAAGCAAGGTGTGCTGTGATTGGCCAGCTATCCAATGCGTTGTGATTGGCCGAATACCTCAAGCGTGAGACGGAAATGTTACGCCCCTTACCATACTGTTGATGCCGTCTCCTAGCTGGAGCGATGAGACAAAAACATTAAAACCCATTACAAACGAGGCATTTGTTGCATCCAGTGGGGACATAATTACTGATTATAATGACTTACTGTCTTTTTACGCGTTGCATTGCATCGCGCCGCGTAAATATAAAACTCTGTCTGCATTTGTGATCAGAGAAATGACAAACAACAAGTGCTACTCCACACTGCCCAAAACTCGCGTTTGAATCATCAGTGGCAAATCCTTTAAATGAAAACGTACTTACAGACTGTGAGTCAGAACCAGAGGTGTAAAGAGTACCTAAAAACCATACTTGAGTAAAAGTACAGATACCTTACAGTGAAAATTACTCCACTACACGTTACAAGTCACCAATTCCAAAACAACTTGAGTAAAAGTCTTAAAGTATCTGATTTTAACAGTACTTAAGTATTTTACTTATACTAAATATAGGCTCAAAGATGCACTAGTCAAAGAGACACGCCAGTCAAAAACTAACGTTGTGGAGAAGCTGCAGAAAACAGGCAGAGGCAAGGATCTATGTGCGCTGGTATTTAATGGAAAAACTAAAACAATAAGCCAAAAACCAAAGGGAACAAAGAACAGAATGACTGGCAAACAGACAACCATTACATTCAACAACTCACAAGGAACTAAAGAACAACTAGGGCTATATATACACATCACAGCGATGCACACAGCATCTTCACGACATGGCTGCAGCGTCAACAATACTACAGTGAGAATACATGTTACGCCTTCTTTGCGTGAACATTTGGGCGGTGTTATGCAAATCTCACATAGTGAGGTAGATATGTGGGGGCATGTTAGAATGAGCCGTTTTAGGTAGGTGTGGCTGACTCTGAACTTTTATAAAGAATATCTCTTTGGATTTGAGACTTTAGTCTTTGCAACTTTACAGATCTTCTTTATGCACCAAGAGCTTGTAACACTCCAAAGAGAAAGGAAAAATTGAAATCACATCATGACCCCTTTAAGCAATGCATAAATACATTATGCTGTTTTGTTCATAATTGTTTATTCAACTTACGAAATTATATTTGATTTATATATGTTAATTTAGACGTTATGCATGTATTTTATAGACAATTATTATTTAATTGCACTGAATAAACAATTTAATGCGCTGCATTATTTTGCTCATTGCGCCCTCCTATGGCCTCGGGAGACAAGACAAAAGTTTCCTTAAGACTTATTTAATCTGCATATAAAACATAAGAAAGGAGATATTTGTCTATATTTTATTTAGTTTTTGACTGTTAAAACAATACAAATATCTGTTGTCTTAATAAATTGAGTAAATTAAAAAAATACTGTGGTTAAATAAAAATTTTTTTTTTATATTGCTCTGTTTTAAAAAGGGTTATAAAAAAATTTCAATAATTATCGATACCTAACGATATGAAACATTATAGTGTTTATACGTTTTTTAGCTTATATCTTATATAGTTTATATCACCCAGCCCTACTGTTCACACTGGAAATCTGATATTGGCCACATTTAAAACAACAATGTGAACAGCTATACAAAAAATAACATAAGATCACATGTGAGTGAAATTTTGTCACAAGACTGGACTTCCTCCAAATTAAAAATGGTGGTTGACTGTGCAGGTTGACCGTGCCCTTATTTGCAGCGAAAAAAAACAAACAAAAAAAAAAACTGAAGAATATGGAGGAGAGAATGGTTGGGGAGATGAATCCTCCCCCTGAAATTTCCCTTGCCATGTATCTTGCTCTCTCATTGGCTGCAGGCTGATGTCATTTCCTGTAAAAACATTTCACACCGCAAGACAGTGAGTCGTAGACGGGCCCAGATATTTAGCCTGCTAAATATTTCTCAGGTATATGCGACACATCGGCGATTCTCTCAGATCACATCTTTTGTTACTCACATGAACAAGCACCAATTTGCCACAGATTTTGGGCTTTTGTCACCGACCTCCAGAAAACTGTTAGCTTGTGAATATCTGGCATAAAATCATGTACTGAATATACCCGGCATTTAATCTGAAACCAAGTCTTCAAGGGTTAAATTGACAGTCATTAAATCCCAATCAAGACAGACACTTTGCGTCCCGTGAGAGAGACACAGGGCTGAACCTTAAAGCCCTTTGGAAACTCACACCCATATGACTAATGAGAATCTGATATCACCTGTGGAATGCTTGAGTCTGGAGACGTTGTTCATCTGAGAACTGCTGTACTATTCTGTACTCCACCTGAGAGATTGTCTACTTAGAACCTGAGAACTCACACCAAAAAGTGGATATTACACTTTTGGGGGTGGCACACTTATTTTTTAAGTTTTTGAAATTTGAATTTAAAATTAAAACTTTTATATCTTATATATATCTTAAAATCTACATTTACTCCTGTGTCCGCAAAGCTGAATGAAACATTTCTTATTATTATCAATATAAATTTTTTCAGAAATCTTTGATTAATAGAATGTTCAAAAGAACAGCATTTATTTGAAACATATATATTGCAATACTATAAATCTTCGCTGTCACTTCTGATCATTTTAATTTGTCCGTGCTAAATAAAAAATATTAAATTCCTACCCTAAACACAGCCATATATATTTTTCCTAAAAACTTTTCTTAAAGATAATGTTAACGTTAGGCACAAATGTCTTTACTGTTATTTCAGTTAGCTTAGCATATACAGTGTACTCCGAATGAAATTCCCCACATCTTTTCAGTTAACCCACAGACAAAACCATGCAGAGCAAACAAACAAGAGGGGCTCCCTGTCATGGTCTCATGCTTGGGGGACATTAAAAGATTAGTTCACTTCCAGAATAAACATTTCCTGATGATTTACTCAGCCCCATGTCGTCCAAGAAATTCATGTCTTTCCTTCCTCTATCACAAGAAATTACGTTTTTTACGTTACGAGGAAAACATTCCAGGATTTTTCTCCATATAATGGACTTCAATGGGACCCAACAGGTCGAAGGTCTAAATTGCAGTTTCAATGCAGATTCAAAGGGCTCTACACGATCCCAACCGAGGAATAAGGGTCTTACCTTATTTTGTTTCTAAAAAATAAAAAAATAAATTAATTAAAAGTGTAAATACTTGTCTTGCACTGTGATGCGCGTCCGTGATATCATGCATTATGTAATCACGTTGGAAAGGTCATGCGCGGTTAGCGTTTCTTCTGTGTACTCAAAAAGGTAGGGTGAAAAACGCCATCTCATTTTGTCCTCCAACTTCAAAACTGTCCGACATCGTTGTTTTACCTTTTCTTGTAAAGGGCATTTGACTTTTGTTGCACGTTCGCTTTGTAAACACTGGGTCGGTACTAGGGCTGCACGATTAATCGAATGCGATTGTCATGCACATTTTGATAGTAATGCCGGTTCTGTAATCAGCAGGAAATCATCATCACGTGCTTTCAGATGGAGCAGAATTTACTACACATAGCCGTAGTTCACTGACAAGTTACGCAAAAAAATCACAGATGATTTTATTGCGCGATTCTGAAATCGAAGAAATCGTTCGCAATAATGACAGCTGTTTGCATAGCTTCTCAGTGAACTACGGCTCTGTGAAGTAAATGCTGCTCCATCTGAAAGCATGTGAAAATACCACATTTAATAACATTTTTACTCCAAACTCACTTCATAACGTCAGTCGAGTGTTTGAAATAAACCCTTCTGTGAGATGTGGCTTCTTACACAGAATAAAGCACGCAACATATTTCATAGTATTTAAGCAGTGTTTGCCGTAGTCGTGTGTTTATTAGTCACGTTGAATCAATGAAAGCAGTTGAATCTTCTGTTTATTCAGCTGCAGTGATAGGCATTTTCTGGGTTTCTTCTACGAGGCGTATTTGGAGTTTCAGCGCGAGAGCGCCCTCTGGCCTTTGGATGGAGATTTACTGCTGATCACAGAACCGTGCTTCACTGAAAGATACACATGACAATCACAGCTTCTGTCGAATCGCGATCTCAATTCCATTTCGGTTTATCGTGCAGCCCTAGTCGGTACTTCCGCCTACATTATGCATGACCTTTCCAACGTGACTACGTAATTCGTGAAGTCAAGCTAGTGCAAGACGAGCATTTCTGGTTAAAAAGTATTTACATTTTTCTTAGAAAATAGCCGATCGTTTCGCTAGATAAGACCATTATTCCTCAGCTGGGATCGTGTAGAGCCTTTGAAGCTGCACTGAAACTGCAATTTGGAACTTCAACCTGTTGGCCACCATTGAAGTCCATTATATGGAGAAAAATCCTGGAATATTTTCCTCAAAAACCTTATTTTCTTTTTGACTGAAGAAAGAAAGACATCAACATCTTAAATGACATGGGGGTGAGCAAATTATCAGGACATTTTTATTCTGGAAGTGAACTAATCCTTTAAGTATGCATTCCCAGCCCTCCAACTCAAATTAGTCTGTTAATTTCCCAGTCAACTAGAGATGCAATGAATTCAACAATATCATCCCTGTGGCCAAAAAAACCTGGAAGTGCAATATGTTTAGGCACTGGACAATAGCAGAAGTGGACAATGCAAAGTGAGAAAAATGTATAATATACCCAAAAAATGCAGATGCGCCGAGGTTGCACCAAGGCCTTATCTAATGAATCAGATTCCTCTTAAATATGCGGAAACATGCATTCAAGATATTATCAGGAGGAAGCAGCTGGTGTCATTTCACTAGCCATAAATCTGTTCACTGGAGTTTTAAAAAACATTAAAAGAAAAAAAAAAAGAAAAAAAGTGTCACATTCTTCTGCGGAACACAAAAGGAGGCAATTAGGAATATCACGTCCCCAAAATGAAGTGGATGGAGACTGAGACTTTCATTTTGTCTAACATTTCCTTCTGTGTTCCAGACTGACATACACCTTTTGTTTTTGGTTTAGAACTACACAACAAGGGTTAATAAAAGATGACGATTTAAATATGAATTTTTTGTGAACTGTCCTTTTAATTCAGTGTTACACGGTTACTTTTTTTGTTATAATAAAAGGCAGTTCTCATTTAGAATGTGCTGCTCTTCAATTGTCTACTTTAATTCTCTTATGTTGTTTATTTGCCATTTCTGCTGTTTGGGGCCTGCCGTCATTAGCTCATTTAGCAGCAGAAGCACCGCGACAGCTTCCCTAGCCCACAGGAAGCGGGAGAGCCTCATTCTTTAGCTTATAATCGTATCCTAAATGGCCAGATAATCATCCTGCACGCAAGAAAATAAACATATGACTGTCTATAAGTGAATACGTTGAGTAAATAATTGTGTGACTGCTTAAATTCGATCATTTTTATTAAGTTTTGCGAATAGCTAGCCGTCTCTGGAGCGGTTAGCTCGCGAGCTCACACACAGCAGCTCGAGCGCATGCAATGCGTGCCGTTTAGACTTCAGTTAGTGTGAGAACGTTTGTCATGTCTTAATGCTTTTGATTCTGGGTTCAAAGTAACGTTAGCAATGAATAAGACGCAGGCCCTTCGCCATGTTTCACAGCGGTGGATGTATTTTTAACCCACCCATATTCGGGATACGAGTGAATGTACCGAAACGGAAGTGGCTAACAAACGCTAAGCCAGCCGTCGCTTCTCTTTAGCTGATCGTTTCAGTGATATTTGAGGATTTCGTGGTATTACGATTTAAAAAGAGTGGTTAAAAACGTGTAGTGTGTCTCACTTCACGGTTACCTTAATGATCCTGCGGGGCAACCCGGCCATCTTGTCTTGAATGCGGATTTTAGCTTTGACTCTCTGTGCCTCTTACTTCATTTGCATTGACGGCGGAGACGCAGTGCGCACACACGCCTTCCGGCGCGTTGCGTCCAGACGCACGCGGAAACGTACGAATTTGATGAAGATATGGAAGTTGTAGTTTGTGTTGAATGAAAGCTGTTTCTTTCACACGTTCCGTAAAAACACATGATTCACGTGTTTTCTGTCATTCATTCTGTGCAGTACTTTTCACACTTTTTCTGCATTGCACTGAGGACGTCCTGTATTTCATTTAAAGGTGAACATTGAGAAATTAGCACTTTTGATAAATATGCACATTTATAAATGACACCAGAAAAATTAATTTCTACATTTGCAGTCTGTGAACCTATTATAATGGCACTGTCGGGATAGCTGGTATTGGTAGTATGCAATATTCTGACATAAAACTATAAACGTAATGAAATCATGAACTGTATTTATTTGATATAGGTTGAAAAAGTATTTTCGTGAAGCACCTCCTCTCTCCCCTCTCCTCTCTCTCTCTCTCTCTCTCTCTCATTAAAATATTTATCTCTGCTCTCTCTCTCTCTCTCCCTCCTCCTCTCTCTCTCTCTCTCCCCCTCCTCTCTCTCTCTCTCTCTCTCTCTCTCTCTCTCGCAGTC